GAGTATAGCTGCCCACGCAAGTCGCGCCCGCTTGAATAATTTGTTCGTCCCCATCATCCAAGCATTTAGGCCACCCATAATTTACATGACTTCATAAACAACTTCAACGGATTAAGGGAAACTCTGTCATGGCCACTGCGCCAACAGTTGGTCTCAAACGACATCCAACAGCGGTAAAGGACCAGTTGTCTGCGGGGACGACCCATAATAACGTAGTTCGTCCTCTCCACCCCTTAATGTGTGATACAAACGCTGATTTTGTTGTTAGTGCGCCATAAAAATCCCTCAAAAAATTTATGAGATGTAAAAGGACTTTTTTGTTGCAAACACGCTTGGCCACCGATATACAGAAGCGAACTCAGTGGAATGAAGGAAAAGCGGGAAATAAGAAAGAAAAAAAGAAAGAGGAATCGCCGCTCACCTTCGTAAGTATTTACCGTTTCCAAATTGATCATATGACGTATTACGTGATATTCATCAACGATGCCATTTCCACCTAGAATATCTCGAGCCTTCCGCGCTATGTCCAAGGCTTTACCACATGAATTTCTCTTGATCATGGAAATCTGTTCAGGACTAACCAAACCTTCATCCTGTAAAGAAGACGAGGTAGACATTCTCTTGAATCTTCAAATTTGAAGAAAACCTACCTTCAACCTGGCAACTCTCAAGCAAGCTTGCAAGCCAAGGGTAATTTCGGTGAGCATGTCGGCAAATTTCAGCTGTATAAGTTGCATTTGGGCCAGGGGCTTGTCGAATTGCTTTCTGGAAAAAAGGGAAATATCAAAACTGAATTTCCAGAACGGAAGATCCTACCGCTCCATTGCATATTCCCGCGATCGATGAAAGCAATCTTCTGCAGCACCCAGGGTGCCAAAAGCTATACCCATGCGAGCATTGTTCAAGCAACCAAATGGGCCGGCAAGACCTTTTACCTAAAAATTCGTTTATTTAGTTGCCATAGATGATTTCTATTTTCGGCAAAAAAAATTTAGATTTGAAAAGCTTAATTGCAAGTTTGAATTTGCTTACCTTTGGAAGCAGGTTAGCTTCTGGTACCGGTACCTCATCCATGGCAATTTGGCCAGTAATTGATGTTCGCAATGACAATTTACCTTCAATTTTCGGGCAGGTAAGTCCCTCCATGCCTTTTTCAAGAATAAAACCCTAAAAAGTAATATTGCTATTAGAGAAAAAAGCAGAGGTGCTCCTACCTTGATGTCATTATTGTGCCTATCGCTTCGTGCCCATACTATTAAGACATCTGCTACGGGGCTGTTGCTAATCCATGTTTTGGAGCCAGAAAGTCGATAAGTCTTCGTCTTCTCGTCCCACCTAAAATAAGCTATAACATCAGGTTCTCATCGCGCAAACATGCATAAGGCGCTGTCCACAGACAGTAAAAATAGCAAACATGCGATCGTGCAGCGCAACCGCAGGCGCGTGCCATGTACAAAAAATCTACAAGACTATAATATAGAAAAGCAAGTTAACAAAAAATATTCAAAAATGATACTATGAAATGCAATAAAAAGTATACAGGCGATGTCAATAGCCTACTCCCTTTTCTGCA